CCGGTGGGCAGAGAGAGGGGAGTTGGGGCACGGCTGAGGTAGTGGGGGCAGATCAGGGTGAGGGTGTTGGGAGAGGTCCTACAGGCAGCAGTAGGGAAGGGTGCCTTTTCTGCAGTCAGGGTTTTGATTTTTTTTCCCCTTTTTTCCGTGGAATATTTGTGTGTTTGTGTGTGTGTTTGTGTGTATGTCTAAGAGTGCCCTCCATTGGCCAGATCCAGGCTGCTGCACTGTGTCACCAGCACAACCGAGGAAACTGGTGGATGCACAACCGGGGAGGTTGCCCTTCCCGCGTGGGAGAACTCGGTGCAATGCACGGACTCTGCAAAGCGGGGCACATTGCAGCACTGCCTGCATTTCACGGGCTCCTCCTGCTCGTGCAGAGCTGAAATCCCTATGCTGGGGCACAGCTGCAAAGTCGGACACAGCAGTTTGGAGATGTCCATCTGGAAGGTCTTGGTGGGACGGGGTGAATCGGCACGCGGGGCTATTCAGGCGGAAGGTGAAGGCAGTTGCAGGCAGGATCAGGGGATGCCCTGATCCCCCCCTGCCCACACACGTCCCATGCTGCCTACATCCCCAGGATGGGCGTGGGGTGTGCTTGGGGCATACAAACATGTGCAGAAAGCAAACAGGGACATGAGGGTGGTGGAAAACTCCAACCTCAGACCCGGATCATCTTGGTTACTGCAGGAAGAGGGTGCACCACCAAACAGTTTACCACATCTTGCAGGCTCCAAAATTCACTGGGACCAGTGCAAACTGGATGCCTAAACCCCTTGGGCAGCCCAGGTGCCAGGTGTAACATGTAATTCAGTCCCTGCTTGGTTTTGTTTGAGCTGCAAAGGTCTGTCTCGGGTTGTGTTTCTGAACTGTGCCTGCTCCAGTGGGTGCCAGGGTGGGGTGGCGAATACTCAGCAAGGAGGTAGAAGAAATTACCAGGGCTCTGCACAGTGGTGTGAGGGTGTAGGAGCCATGCTGGTGGTTCACATCTCTTCATGAACCTCTGCTTCATCATCTCTAACACCTGCACAAGGTAACCAAGGCAGAAAGGCCATTCAGACCAAACTTGTCAGCCTCTTTCTGTGAGTTGCTTGGGGTGAACAACTGTCTTCTGCCAGAGGCACACTCACAAAGAAGACAACATCTTTGCCCTTCGGTTTGTCCTTGAGAAATGCAGGCAAGGGACAGCCTAAGGTACTCCACGGTCACCTGCTGTCCCCAAGCTTCACTCCAGAAAAGGCTTCTCTGCCAGACTCATCTCCGAGGCACAGGACTGGAAGGAAAGGGCAGGAGGGGTGGCACGTACTCCAAGTTGGAGCCAAGGGATGGGACCAGGCATGGATGTCTCCCATCACAGAAAATTACAGAAATAGCCAGGCTACCTAGACCCTAGCTGTGGCAACAACCATGGGAATATGGGCAAATTTGCCTGTGTGCCATAGGAACGTGGTCTCCCACACTGGAATAATCTGTCTTTTCATGCATTTAATATCACTTCCCTGGCTGCAGGCTTCAGCCTCTGGTATATGTCCCCCTTGGGATTTTTCTGGATTAAAGTGTAGAAGATGGATCTCTCTGCTGAAATGCAGCAGCCAGTCAGCTGCCCATTGCATCTTCCCTCTCTGCCAGTTCCAACACGTTTTGAGCCAAAGATCCAGGTGTGGAGGGGGTTTTGTCTATTCACTTCTTCTGTTCTAAGTAAAGATTCCCACTTCAGCAAGGATTAGTTGAAGGAGAAAAAATATGTTTATGTTCCTTATGGTAAAACCTTCCAGATGGGACTGCATTCAGGGGAAATCAATTTTGAGACCTAACAACCGTAACACAGCGTCCCATTAACGGGTCTGTTTAGTTAAAGTTTGTTGGCTTTTACGGTGCTTTTCCCAGAGAGGGGCGGTGGGGGGGGGGATGCATTTTGTGCTTGCTGCATCCTCTTTCAGTAGCAGATCTGTGGCCAGCGTGAGAAAAATCGGGTTTGCGGAGGGCAGGAGGCTTGGGCTGAATCCCACGCGGTGAAGTCACTGTTAGGGACCGGATCTCGGCGCAATCCCCGTCTCCTAATCATCTCGTTGCTATGGAGGCACCGCTGGCTCCTGCTTCCAACTGGGAGAAGCAGGTTTCTTCACCGTCTGGACCAGAGGTTAAGATGGTCCCTGGCTGGCTCATGGGTGTGAAGGTCAGATAGATTTTGGCTTTGCAAAGGCTGTGCCCGCTTGCAAACAGCACGAGTTGCTCACGCACTGCCCTACAGCGAGGGAGAGGCGACCCAGCAGTCCCTCTCAGAGTCTCAGCTAAGCAAGAACCTTTCACTTACCAAAGCTGATATTTAAGGCATTCACAGCCATTTGCAGGCAACCCCTCCTGCTAATCAGGATGACCTCTCTGGAAATTTATGAGATGTTTGGTTGATGCCTGTGGTTTTCGTTGCAAGCAAGCGCTGCTTTGCATCCCGCTAAGCAGGCTGCATTCCTGAAATCTGGCCACCGAGGCAGGCAGGAGCCTGGCATGGGGAGATTTGCACTGCAGAGCTTTGCAGGCTGCAAACCACTGTCAAGAGTGGTGATCTGACTTCTAAAAAATTTAAGTGCAAATGCATTTGGACTCCATGCTGATTAGTGTCAGGTCTAACAGACACTCAGGAATCTGCTAGCAGAGGCTGCAGTGATTTGAAGCTCTGATGAAACACAGTTTGCAAATAGCGCATCTGACTTTCGAGTTACCTAACCCTTTCCTCCCCAGAAAAAAAGGCTTTTGCAGAAAAGGGGAGACGCAGAGACAAAACTTTGCTATAGAGTGGGGAGAGAAACCAAGGGGTGAATGTGGAGATGCATTTGGCTTCTTATCTCCTCCCAGATGCACAGGATGGTCTATGGGCTTCATCTCTTATTTTTCAGTATCTCCTGGGATTGGGTTTAGCTGCCTGAATTGTAGATTTGCTGGGAATCTGTATGGCTGCTGCAAAAGCTTCCTCTGTTTGCAGTCTGGGAAGGCAGAGCCTGGCAGCGGGGTGGGAGATGGCAGGACTGGGGATTAGCGGTGTGGACACCGCGGGGCTGTGAGGAGGGTCAATGGCTGCAATGGAGAAGACGTGTTTTCCCTCTTCCCTTGCAGCAGGTGCCCCTCTCTGTAGCCTGTCACCCTAATTCCTTCCTGGCAGTGTCACCTTGGTCCCTGATCATGGAGAAACACATCCCAGATGATCTGAATTATTTTGGGGTTGCAACCCAGGACAATGTTAGCATCTCAGGAGTTGGGCTGCTTGCACTCAGGCTTCAATGCAGAGGCCCTGAGCACTTGCTTTTCACTAACCCGTGGACCACGAATGCTCTTGAAATCAAGGCAGTAGCCTGACTTGGTAGGGGAAACCTTCCTCCCAGGGGTCCGATCTGTCCTTTTGAAATTGGGCAGCAGCCCTGTTTTGGAGGCAGCAAGTGCTTCCCACCCAAGGGGAAACTCCTGATTTTCTCCACCTGGAGTGAGCCAAGAGGGCAGAAAAGGAAATGGCTGGAAAGGTGAGAAGGAAAAAGTGCCATGGCTGTATGCCCAGTAGTGGGAGAAGCTCTGCCCCACACACTGAGGGTCTGCCCCTCCTGCCTGTCAACCCTTACATCTGTTAACAGGCCCCCTCCCCAAACATGGGGTGCCCACTGCATGGGGAGCGGGTACAAGAGTCCTGCTATTGATGGTGTTTCCCCTTCTTTCTCCTCCTCTGGAAAGAGGGAAGATGGAGGGAAGGGAGCACAGGAGGGTCTTCTTGGTGGGGTAAGAAAGAGGGAGACTTACAAGAGTGCAGAGGACGCAGGAGTCTCTTCGGTATGGAGAGGGGCACAGGGGTCTGGGCAGTTGGGCTGGAGAGAGGATCTGGGCTACCAAGGCTTGCAGGGAACAGGTCCCATAAAGCAATGCAGGATGGATGTTACTTTTGCTGAAGGGGCTTTTGGGGCTGAAGGAGGTTCTGGGGCTGGCAGGGAGGACTCTCACTCTCTGGAGATGCTCTATGCCTGGCTACAGTACTGCAGACTTTGGGGTGTCCTGCACGCAGGGTTGAAAGGCGGGGTGGTTGCCTGATGTGGGAAGACCTAAAATCTGCCTCTATCGCCCTTTTTTCCTCCTTTACTGGGTGCACGGCTCCTTCCAGCCCTGGCCTCCTGTCTGGGCTCAGGGTTAGACCACAGTCGGGGTACTGAACAACAACTCCCCTTCCCCTGCACTGGTTTGGTGGAAGAGGAGGGAGGTGAGAGAAAAGGAGAGACAGAAAGAAGCAAAACACCAAGGGCTGGCAGGAGGGA